CAAGAAATTATCTCACACCAGGAAGGCTAGCAGACATTGAAAAGAGCAACAGGGGCTGGACCTATACAGTAGACAGGGCAATTGCCTCACACATATCCAATGCAGGTTCTAGCCCCAGCATACTGTATGGTTCCCTAAGTCTGCCAGGACTAATCTCTGAGCACAGAACCAGGAATAAGTCCTGACTGAATACTGCTGGGTGTGACCCAAAACCAAACCAAACATCAAAGAACAACAACTAATGTTGGCACAGATGCTGGGGAAAGGGACTCTCATTCACTGCTAGTGAGAAATGTCAACTGGTCCAGCCCTTTTGGACAACAATATGGACATTCCTCAAAAACTAGGAATCGAGCTTCAATATGATCCAGAAGGGGCTGGAGAGATAGCACTGTGGTAAGCCACTTGCCCAGCACATGGCCAACCCAGGTTCGATTCCCTGGCATCCCATTTGGTCCCCTGAGAACCCCCAGAAGTAATTTCTGAATGCAGAGACAGGAGTAACCCCTGAGCATTGCTGGGTTATGGCCCAAAAGCAAAACGAAACATGTGACCAAGAAATTCTACTCGGCGGAATAAATCCCAAGGCCCCAAAGCACAATGCAAAAAAGATACCTGCACTCCTATATCTACTCCATTTACTATGTCTACATTCACTCCTATGTCTACTCCATTCACATTCACAAAAAAAGATACCTGCACTCCTATGTCTACTCCAGAGCCAAAAAAACAACTCATATGGCGAAGAACAGGTAATTGGATAAAGAAACTATGATGTGTATACACAATGGAATACTACTCAGAATAAGAAAAGATGGGAGTCATACAATTTGCTGCTACTTAGATGGATCTAGAGAGTATCATGCTGAGTGAAGTGAAGTGAGTCAGAATGAGACTCAGATCTCGTATGTGATACAGAAGGAAAAATAACAGAATAACAAATGACCAAAGGTTACAGAAAAGAAAAGCAGAAGAAATGATCTTCAGTAGACAGGCTACTGCTGTGGCAGGGGAGGGATAGGTCAGGGAAGGGATCACAGACAATGATAGAGGGGAGTGGTCACTACGGATGAGGACTGGGTGCTGAAAAGTGGTAAAGTGACCTGCATGATATCCTCTCAGTATCAGTACTGTAAATCACAGTGCCTAAAAGGAAAAAAGAAAACAGTGCCCACTATAGAGGCAGGCAGGGGGAGGAGTGGGAGAGAAACTGGGGCACTGGAGGAGAAAAGAGGGCATGGGTGAAGGGATGGGTATTAGAACATTAACATTGTACCCTGGATGGGTATTGGAACATTGTATGGCTGAAACTCAATCATGAATCACTTTGTAACTTTGTAATTCATGGTGATTCAATAATACAAAACAAATTTTTTAAATACTGCAGTGCACAGAATCCAGTCCAAGAATGCCTCCTGTAGCCCCTACACACACACACACACACGCACACACACACACACACACACACACGCCACCCTCCCCACCAAGCTTAATAACTGATTACTGTCAAGCTGGAGCCAAGTTGGAACCAGAGGGCTGAGAGTGCAAGAAATATGGGGCATGGAGACCAATTTTCAAAGAATATCATCTGTAACAATCCACTGGACTAAGCACACTAATGTATATCTTTCAATATATCCCATTTGCTTTGCCATACAAAGTGATATAGTGCATGATATTAGGGCACTAGAGCCAATGCTGGGGATCAAACCTGGGTCAGCTATGTGAAAAGCAAACGTCTTGGCCGGAATGATAGATAGAACAGCAGGTAGGGCATTTGCCTTGCACGCAGCTAACCCAGGTTCAATCCCCAGCATCCCATACGGTCTCCGGAGCACTGCCAGGAGTAATTCCTGAGTGCAGAGCCAAGAGTTTCCCCTGAGCATCGACGGGTGTGACTCAAAAAAGACAAAAAAAAAAAAAAAAAAGCAGGCATCCTACCAACAATACTAATAACTATACTATCTCTCCAACCCCCAAATATGTATTTTAAAGTTGAAGATTCACCAAGACAACACTGAGCAAATTAATCAACTATTCTCCACTCCAACTCTTTTTACCTTTGTTTGTTTTGGGGTCACACCCGGCGATGCTCAGGGGTTACTCCTGGCTCTGCACTCAGGAACCACTCCTGGCAGTGCTCGGGGGACCATATGGGATGCTGGGAATCAAACCCAGGTCGGCCGTGTGCAAGACAAATGCCCTACCCACTGTGCTATCACTGCAGCCCCTCCAACTCTTTAATTCTTAAAATGAATTAGTAAAATTTCCCCTAGAGTTACTGTGACAACTGAATAACACTAAATACTAAAAAGTACAATATTTCATACATTAACAGTGTCAGACTAAGGTCACTGTAGAGAGTGGACTGAAACTTTTGCTAAGATAGTTCTTGCTCTGATTTTGGTAGGGTGGGGAGGCATGGGTGGGGCTGGGGAGACTGTGCTCTTGGCTCCATGCTCAAAGATCACTCCTGGTGGGGCTCAGGAGACTATATGTGGTGCCAGGGAACAAACCCAAGTTGGTTAGTGTAAGGCAAGTGCCTTACCCACTGTATTATCTTTCCAGTCTTTAATAATAAAGAAAAATCACATATTTCCCCAGGTCAACAGATACACATATTCAACACATTCCTTAATCAAGGCTGTGTACACTATATCACTCTATAACACAGCATCTATTCCCCAAGGAAGGGAAATTCAGGTTATTTCCTTTTAGGCACAGAAAGAGCCATGGTAATTACTTTACCTCTACATTGTTTCTTCTGGTATTTATATCTAAAATATAAAATATAAAATCAAATTTTTATTTGTTTTGGAGGCCATACTTGGCACTGTCCACGTGATCATTTGTAGTGCTGGGAATCAAACCCAGGTCGGTCATAAGCAAGGCAAGTGGCTTACCCTCTGTACTATAGCTCTGGTCATCAAATAAATCCCGATTATTCTTTCAAACATCAAATTTGAATCTCAACTGAATGCTTAATCAGACAAATACTAAATCAATACTAAAGTATAGGGTAATTAACATACAAGTATTATTTAATATACAAGTATTCAGGGTATTCAATATTCAAGTTTAGGGTATTGCCACACGTGTTACAGATAGTACAATTGTCTAAAGTAGAACCACAAATTCTAAATTCATGTCAAATGCAAAGTCAGAAATAAGTTTTTCTGGAGGCTGGAGCGACAGTACAGCGAGTAAGGCATTTGTCTTGCACGCGGCCAACCCAGGTTCGATTCCCAGCATCCCATATGGTCCCCTGAGCACTGTCAGGAGTAATTTCTGAGTGCAAGTCCAGGAGTAACCCCTGTGCATCACTGGGTGTGACCCAAAAAGCCAAAAAAAAAAAAGTTTTGCCTGGGGCCAAAAAGCATAGTGGATAGGATACTTGTTTACTTGTTTGGCACACAGCTGATCCCCATTCATCCCCTGGCATTCCATATTGTCCCCCTGCTAGGAGTGATCCCTGAGCACAGAATCAGAAGGAGCCCTAGCACTGCTGGGTGTGACCCAAAAACTTGAGCACAGAGCCAGAAATGAGCCCTGAGCACAAGCAGGCATGCCCCTCCACCGAGAGAGAGAGAGAGAGAGAGAGAGAGGTTTTTTTCCACGCTTTAGGAAACAGACTAAAAATCTATTGCTCTTTCCCAAAGTTCCAGAATTAAAGTTTCTATTTAATGAAAGGAAAATAATCAAGGGACTGAATGACAGTACCAGGGTTAAAACACTTGCCTTCCAAGTGTCTACCCTCGTTCAATCCCCAGTACTACACAGTATCCCAAGCACTGCCAGGAGTGACCCCTGAACATTGCTGGGTGTGGCTTCAAAAATGCAGAAGAAAAAGAATAAATGCATAGTTACAGTTTTGTTGAAATGAAATATACACATAAAGCAATGCCCACAAAAAGCCAACTCCAACACCCTGGTGGGATACTGCTACAATTAATTTTCAATTTTAACCTTCCATATGTCCCCCAATTTTCCTATGACTAGGTACTATCTTTTTAACACTTAAAAAAATATATCAGGGGCTGGAGTAATAGCACAGCGGGTAGGGCGTTTGCCTGGCATGCGGCAGACCCAGGTTCGATTCCCAGCATCCCATATGGTCCCCCGAGCACCGCCAGGAGGAATTCCTGAGTGCAGTCAGGAGTAACCCCTGTGCATTGTTGGGTGTGACCCAAAAAGAAAAAAAAAATCAATGTACTCTCAGAATTTTGAAACTAATTCATGCATAACAAAGTACTTAGTTTTTGTTATGAATACTTCACATTGCCCATCAGCTTTTAATACCCAAAACACTAAGCACCTCAAAAAAAAATTTCTATACTTTCCAAAGAGGTGTGTGTGTGCGCACGTGTGTGTGTATGTGTGTATGAGTGTATTCACATATATACTTACACATGCACATGGAGATTTTTTTTGGAGGGGGCTGGGCCACGCCCCATGGTGCTGAGGGGTTCTTTGTGGCTCTCACTCAGGAGAGCCCCGGGTGTTGCTTGTAAGACCGTAAGTAGTGTCAGAAATTGGAGCTGGGGGTCAGTGGGATGAAGACAAGTACCTAAACCCTATTGCATCTCTCCAGTACCCAAAGGCCTATTTATTGCTACATGTCCCTCTTCTACCCTGCCCACTCTCGCACATAAAGATTAGGCTGACAGGATTCTCCACAGTTTACTTCAGCCCCAGAGTCCATCCAGGTGCACTTTATTGCCTGCTTTTAACACAAAACTGCCTTGGGCTTGAGACTAGATTCCTCACTAGCTGAACTTCTGTTCCACTGTCAAGTTCCAAGTTGACTCCACTACTCCTGAAAATAACTGACTTCCTTCTCTATCTCCTGGGACTTAAAATACCCTAGAATCTTGTTCCATAGACCCTTCTTTATACAAGCTGGCTCAGTAAAACGGCGACAATTTTTTAGCTAAGGCTGCAAACTTTAAGAGCCCAGTTTTTCATTATGACCAATAATGACAGACAGCAGTCGCACTGACCTTGGTTCAAGTACGTGAGCGTCTCATCGTGCAGCTTTACTGCTGGAGAGGTCGCAGCGCACATCACATACTGAAAGGGGGGGTTCTTGGTTTCACCATCCAATGGAAGGCTGGAGTCTTCCTGCTTGAAAATGGGCAATGCCAAGACATCACTGAAAGGCAAAAAGATAAAAAAAAAAACAAAAACAAAAACAAAAACTTTTGACCTAACTGTAGTTTTAAAATATCTAAAAACATATAAAATCATTTTGGGATGGTTTCTTTTGAAGATCAGCAATGATAAGGACAATACAAAGAACTATTAATGCTAACCTCTCTAGTTCTAATGAGGGGAGGGAGGCAATGATGAAAAGAAAGATAAACTATTTAATAGTATGGCCAGAGCAAAAGTACAGAGGGTAGGGCGTTTGCCTTGCACATGGCTGAACTGGGTTTGATCCCTGGCATTCCATATGGTCCCCCAAATACCACCAGAAATAATTTCTGAGCATAGAGCCAAGAGTAAATCTTGAGCACTACTGGGTGTGGCACCAAAACAAAACAAACAAACAAAAGTAATAGCAAAGTTCATCCTCTGGTAAATAAATCAGGCTAATGATGTATATTACTTAAAAAGTAGTTACTCCATAAAATTTTTTAGGAATGTTATACTGATTGTTATTTTAGAAAGAGCAAGCTAAGAGTTTACAGCTACCTATTTAAAAGTCAGAACTATGACTACTGCTAAAAGTATGTCATACTGGCAATATGGCATCTCAAAGAAGTGACTGAAACAGAAATTAAGGGGCCACAGTGATAGTACAGGGGGTAGGGTGTTTGTCTGCCTTGCACACAGCAGACTGGGTTCTGATCCCCGTATCCTGTATGATTCTCCCAGCACAGCCAGGAGTGATCCCTGAGCAGAGGGGTAATCCCTGAGCACTGCTAGGCCCCCACCCAAAAGAAAATTAACTAAGTAAATTAAACAGAACTTAGTAAAACTAGGTCTGGCAAATGCAGAGAGAGCAAAGTCCTTGTTAGTCTAAAACAATGAATTCCTCTGAGAAGTAAACAGTGGCAGCAGAAACAGCTGTGATTCCTACCCCTACACACATACACACACCACACAAACACATACAAGAAATAATTGGGGAAGTACACTTTATATTTGCTATTGTTAAACAAAAAAAAAAAGGCTGGAGCGATAGCACAGCGGGTAGGGCGTTCGCCTTACAAGTGGCCAACATGGCCGACCCGAGTTCGATTCCTCCGCCCCTCTCGGAGAGCCCGGCAAGCTACCGAGAGTATTAGATATGCCAAACACAGTAACAACAAAGTCTCCAATGGAGACGTTACTGGGCCTGCTCGAGCAAATCGACGATCAACGGGAGGGCCTTTACCTTTACCTTTACCTAAACACACATGGATATTTATTTTTCTTTTTTTAAAAAAGAAAAAGAAAAAGCTGAACTACAATTTAAATACCATAAAATTCACCCTTTGTAACACAAAGGTATAGACAGCATTGTGCAATGATCACCACTAGCTAATTCCAAACATTTCATCATATCTAAAGAGAAATCTCAGGGGTAGTGGGGCTCAGTGGCAGAGCACGTGCCTTCCATGTGAAATCCTGGTTTTACAATCCTTGGCATTGTTTAAAAGAAAAAGAAAAGTGGGGAGTGGGTGCTGAAAAGGTGGTTCCAAGAGCAGGGGCACACTCTTTCCATACAGGAGCTCCAGATTCAATCCCTGCCACTACATGATGCACCAAGCACAGCCAAGCGTGAAAACAAAAACAAAAAAACTTTGTACTCATTAGCACTTAATCCTTTTACCCATCCACCTCCAGATTCTGGCAACCACTGATTTACTTTTGCTTCTGTAGGTCTGCAAATCTGGACAGTTAATAAAAACAGAATCACATGGTCTTCTGTGCCTGGCTTTTCTTTCTTAACATGTTTTCAAGGTGCATCCATGTCACCTCATTCTTTTTTGTTTGACTGTTTTTGGGACGTATCTGGCAATGCAGTGGGAATGGATGGGGGAGGGAGGTTACTCTTGGCTCTACACTCAGGAATTATTCCTGGTGGTGCTTGCAGGACCATATGAAATGTCGGAGATCAAACCTAGATCAACTTCATGCAAGGTAAGCACACTACCCACTGTACTTTTGTGCGGGGCCCTCATTCCTCTTTTATGGCTGAATGATATTCCACTGTTTGGATATACAATTATATTTCTGTGCAGATAAAACAGGTAGAATTGGTGGGTCAAGTAATCAATTTCTGAGGAATTGCCAAGCTGTTTCTAATGTGGCTTTACTCTGACACAATTCACTGAGCTGGTATATTTATATCCTTAAATTTTCTACATATATTCTTGAATGGAAAAGTAAAATAATGCATCCTCTATCTTGGAGATTTGCCCACATCAACCTGAGAGGTGTGCTCTCAACTGAGTCACTCCTCTTTGAAGAAGTCCGGGTCTCTCTCTAATACATCTACATCTCTCTGTCTCTGTCCCTGTCTCCTCTGTCTCTGTCTCTCTCTTTCTCTCTCTCTAAATAAAACTTAACCAAGTGAATGAGTATCACTAGCAATAGCAGATGTTTGTCTGAATTGCTCATTTTCTCTTTCTCAGAGAGGTGGCTAATCCATTTAAACTAAATTCATTTTAAAAATAAAATGCAAAAGCAAGTGTGAAGGAAACCTGTATTTCTTCCTCCTCATAAACATTTTTACTAAACCACTAAGAATAATTATTCAGAGACTCAATTAACACTAATTCACCCTTTTGTTTATACTGGGGAAGAGTCAACACTCCTCCATTTAAAACTCTCACTTTCTGAATCTTGTGCCCAATGCATGTTCTAACTCCCACTACTCCCCTTTAAAACTTTCTCTGGGTGAAAGAAAACAAGAAAGCTATTACTATGAAGTATTAGTTAGTTATACTGAAAAGTGAGCCTGGGAATAATTTTAAGGTTTCAATGCTAACTGGCTGATAATACAGGTCATCAAAATAAGACATGAGTGTCTGTATAAGAATGACTAGAAATAAACTGTCCCAGGTTCAATCCCCAACATCCCATATGGTCCCTGAACGAGCCAGGAGTGATCCCTGAGCAAAGATCCAGAAGTGACCCTTAAGCACGGCTAGGTGTGGCCCAAAAAAATCATGCCACCATTTTATTCACTTGGTTATAGCAACACAAAATATCATCATAATCGAAGATGTAAATGATTCTTGAATTAATTTTAAAAATAACATGTAAAAATCAGCTGCCACTGAAATTCAAGTAATTTTTACTGAATTAGAAAGGAAAGGCATTCCACTCAACACAGCAGTCAGAGTCATCATCTTCAAACTGAAGTCACAGCACTTCATTCCTGTGGCCTATCCAAGTGCCACCTCCCTTTCAACCAGGGACCCTACAAGGTCACACCCAACTGGCTCTTCCCTCTTCCACACACTCTTGCTCCCTCCCTCTGCCCAGGTCTTTAATGCCTGCTTCAGGCCTTGGTGCTGGCCTGTGTTCCCGCTGAATGTCCCACTGGCTCATTTCAGTCCAATGTCACCTCCCTGCCAGCAACTCCAATCCTGCCACCTGCAATTCATATTTCCCTTTTCTGTTTCGTTTATCCACAAAGCGTGTCACTTTTTAACTTAAGTTTGTATCTCCAATAATATATATACACAGCCACCCCCAAAATGTTTTTCTCTTCACTAATCCCCCTATGTAGAACCAAGAGCTCAAGAGCGCAACTGCTGAATCTAGGAACCAACTAGATTATCATTACTAAAAAGGAAAACTAGGTCTCCAGATAATTTAAGAACATGGTTTCTATTAGGCTAACTTTTAAGCAAGTTCTCATATCCAACTGCTTTTGTAATTCCATATCTCAGGTAGGGTCCCCAGAAATCTTAAAAGCAAACAAAAAGCCTCAAGCCTTCAAATTATTCCAAGTAATTTTGAAATGCCAGTATCCAAAAATAACCAGGCACACAAAGACAAACAAGAGTCTAGGAGCAAGAACCAAGAGCAAAAACAACAGATGGCATAAACCCAGTTCCAGATTCTGTCTGCTGGTATTCAGCACTTTTCTGCCTTTGTCGACTGGAGAAAACTAAAGGCCAAAAAAAAAAAAAAAAAAAAAAAAAAATATATATATATATATATATATACACACATACACACACATATGACTTCTTGCCAGCCTACAGTTTAAGAAAGCTTGCTCCAAAAGAAAGCATTGGTGGGATGTTAAAAAGCAGAAGGAAAGGGCATTGGCAGGCAAGTATGAATGAAGCTACAGGAAGTTCAGGGCAGCAACCAGAGAACACCCTCTGACCAAACTTCCAGCACCTTTTGCAACCAAAGACTCCACTAAACCCTTGAAACATCTCAATGGTTTCTCTTTGCTTGAGACAAGAACTGGCATCCCACCCAAGCCCCCTTGCCCCAAGTCTTCAAATGCTAGAATTATTGAACCCATACCATATGCTTACCCTGACTTTTAAGAAAAGAGACACGTCTGAAAAGGTGTGCAATGAATAGGACATTTTAAGGATAAGAAAATTGGAAAGGAACAATAGAGTTTTAACAAATAAAATAAAATTTCTAAAATTAAGAACTGGAGTTTAAAAGCCAATCAGACAGAAATGTGGAGTAAGTAAAGAAAACAGAAAGCAACAGAGAAAGTAAAATGATGAAAAAAATGAAGATAGGGCATTAAGAAGGACAAAGAAGATTTCATGTTGAACTTCAGAAGAGAAAAGAGGCAATGTTCGAAATGAAGGCTGAGAAAATCCCAAAACTGGTAACATACACCAATTAACTAATTTAAGAAGCCAGAAAGAAATACTAAAGTGGGATGAATGGAAAAAAATTTAATAAACCACATCTAAATACATTTTCTAAAAAAAACAAAATCTATTCATCTGACAGGCCAAACAGTACAAGTACATTTTCTCAGTCAATCACCATGTAAGGGAAACTCTGAAAGGAGACACGGAGAGTGACAGGTGAGGAGTCACCAGTAAGTCCTGTGGGGAGAAGGAACGAATGGGCAGGACATTGTGGGAAGCCAAAAAGGATGCACTGGAGAGCTGGCAACTAGGACTTGGTGAGACCAAACCAAAGATTCTCGAGCCATTTTTGACTGCTCGG